TACTCTTTGGTTATACTTTCCTTTTGGGTGTTTAAGACCATGCAGTTGGCCTAAATAAATCAATTTCTTTTTACCCTTAAGGTCATTTGAGGATCTGTTCCTCAGGGGTCACATGGGCTTGGGAGGAGTTCCTGGCTCCTTTCTTTTACCAGTTCCATCTATGTGAAGATAAGTCAAAGGTCCTGCTCTCGATAAGTCCTGTTTGACCATGGCGGGCTTCACTTGGAAGCTTGAATGAGATGTTTCCTCTAAGTCAACCCTCCTTTTTGTAGACTGGACACTGGTTCAAGCCCATCTCATGGGGTCTCCGTGTCCTCCCTAAACAAGAGGACAGGTGACTCACCACATTACAGGACATTTTAAGAGATGCTCCATAGTCCCCTGGAACTTGGTCAACATTGGAGTCACATTTACAGGACATTTTGAGAGATGTTCCATAGTCCCCTGGGACTTGGTCAACTTTGGAGGGCAAGGGACAAAAACTGTCCTTTAAGTCCCTCTGACCACATTAGTATAGGCCTCAGCCTATGCCTGTTAAACATCCAATGAGATTAGTTCTACCAGTCTGAGCTGTTAAACATCCAATAAGGTTAGTTCCACCAGTCTGATACTTTTAATTAGATAAGGTTATGTAGATAAAGCTTGGGTAAAGAACCCTGACCCCTGTTTTTCACAATCTTTCCACCCCTTGTTTATGATGGGGCCTGAGCCTTGGGGTGGAGTTGGGGGAGTGAGGTGTGATATTGATGTTCCTTTTGTGGCAGAGCACTACATAGACACTTATTCTCTGCACATTGACCATTTGTGAGTTTCTCCATTAACCACCATTCACTGCACAAAGAAACTTCTCTGATGAGATCTGAAAGCTGCACTAATTATGGTTATAGAGATATGTATTTAGAAGGAAGTTTGATATTATGTCCATTTAGCAAAATAGTGGTAGTTGGTTCACTCTTGGGACTTATGAGCTACCCAACCATAAGTTGTTGGCCAGATTTACAGTACTAGGCATGTTTTTCCTTCTGTGTAGTGGGCCTTAAATCAAACCAGAAAACAGTTGGTTACCTCCATAGCATTTGTGCCAGTATTGTACCCATGGCCATATTTTGGCTACAGTGGTCATTATTATAGTTCAAAGAGTTCATAGCTGGGTAAGACTGTTAACTTTTTCTCCCCAGCAGCCTAGCTAGCACCTTCCTATTCTATGAAAGCTATCCAGCAGGGGCAAAGCTTCCTGGCCAGAACCAACTTGATTTCTCCATGTTCTGTGACCAAACTGTATGGTGTCTTCAGCAATAGGGCATTACCACCAAGAGCAGGGCAACCTGATCTTTTTTTTTTTTTTCTTATAAGCTTAGTTGGGGTGGAATGAATCTTCTAATAAAAATCTATCAGAATTTATGTAGATGGCATTATGTACCCATGTGGATTTACTGAAAGCATTACTATATTGATTTAAAATACATTTCAGAGAGATTTGTATTTTTTTCTGAGTAATTACTGGAGAACTTGCATATGGTTACATTGTAAAAATCCACTTAGAAAATAAAAATAAAAACAATTGTAGCAACTGTGTCTAATGCATCCCAACCCCTATTGAGGGGCATTCAGCTTCAGTGGTTAAGAGCACAGACTCAGGAACTAGAGTGCCCAAATTTGTAGCTCCACCACTTTCTTCCTGTATAACAAGGCAGGTTATAACTATTTCACCCCTCAGTTTCTTCATCTGCTAAATGGTGATAACAATGTCTAATTTATATAGTGGTTGTGAGTTAATATATGTATGTATGTAGAAGAGTGCCTGGCATTTATTTTAAACAGTGTTGGGTTTTAAAATTATTAAACATTTATTCTATTACAGACACTGTTGTACTTTATTTTCTTTTAAATCTTAAAAGAGCTCTGTAGAGTTGGTATTTTTATTACTTTCTATTGGCAGTAAGTAAACTGAGGCTCAGAGACAGCAAATGAATTATCTAACATCATACTTAGCAACTGTTTGCACTTCTGATCCAGGAAGTTCATCTCTTACTTTGATTGCTAACATTTAAATTTTCAATTAATCAGAATAGCAATAAATTCTTGTGAGTATTTAGGAAGTATCAAGAATAAAGAACAAGAGTGTAACTTATAATTGTAATTAAATACTGGTTGGAAATATGCCTTTATAGTCTTGGGAAAAGTTATATTTTACCAGAAAGTAGTAAAAGTTTGTGAACTTCAAATCAGTAAGAGCATAGTAATGACCAGAATTGGAGTATTCATGTTGGACTTTACCAAATATTTATTAAAATTCGGTAAAAGGATTTAGGGAGAACAGCCCAGTTGGCTAGAGCTCCCACAGGAGGCTTGGCCGTACCTTGCTTCTGTGCATTGCAGGAAAGGCTTTGTGCTCCCTTTAGAGTCCATAACAAGATGTATTGAAAATCTTGACAACTTAGGGAAAAAATTGACTTAATTATATTGAAATACTTCACATATAAAAATCTTGAATTTGAATTTTTAAGTTGTTAATCTACTCAACACCATATCATCAGACTAGCTTCCGATTCTTTAGTTTCTAAGTCTTTTACTGCCCTTTGTCTGGATTGTGGCAAAAACTCCATAAGCGATTGCCCTTGCTGACACTGTTCTTTTATTGCTTTACATTATATTTACAAAGAGAAACAGTTTATACTGTTTTAATTATTCATTACTTTAGAAAACAGGGAGTAAAATAACTTCTTGAGGAGTACTTTTACTCATATAGATTTTATGTGAATGTGTATATTTAACATTTAAATGTGTATATTTAATTTTATATTATTTAGTATTTTGTAACCTTGGGTAAGTTATTTCACTGCCTTAGTTACCTGTTTTGTTATCCATAATTGGATTCAATGAGACTGTCTTCTTCATAAAAGCGTAGAGTAGAAGTCCAATTAAATGTTGTCTAAGAAATGAAATAAATGTATATTCTAGAAGAATATACAAATCAAGAAGGGATTTGAGAGAATTTTTTTTCTAAGTGATGGTGGAAATATCACACATGAGATTAAGAGAGGAGAAATGTTCGAGCTGTAATTTGTGGGGAGGAGGGAGGAAGAGATTGGATTTCAAATGGATGGACATTTGAGTTGTTTCTATTTGTTGGGTATCATGAATAATGCTGTTAACATTTGTGTATGAGTTTGTATAGAAGTTTGTTTTTGTTTCTCTTGGGTTTATACCTAGGAGCAGAATTGCTAGTAGTATGGTAAGTCTATATTTAACATTTTGAAGAACCACCAAATTTTTAAAGTGTATTTTACATTTTCAACATTTGTCCACATCTCTATCAACTCGTTTTTATCTCACTTTAAAATTCTAGCTGTCCTAGTGAGTATGAAGTGATATGTCACTGTGATTTTGGCTTTTCACTTTCCTGGTGGCTAATGATGCTAGATATCTTTTTAAAAAATTAATTTTTAAATACTTTACTTATTATTTTTATTTTATGTGTATGAGTGTTATGCCTGCATGTAAATAAGTGCACCTGTGTCGTGCAATGCCTGCGGAGGACAGAAGAGGCTTTCGGATCCCCTGGAACTGGAGTTACAGACAGTTGTTAGCTGACATGTGGTGCTGGGATTCCAACCCCGGTCTTCTGCAACAGTCACTGTTCTTAACTGCTGAGCCGTCTCTCTAGCCCCTGATGTTAGATATCTTTAATAGTTATTTTGTATCTTATTGGAGAACTGTTTGCTCAGATTCCTTGCCATTTTTTCTGGTATTTTTTCTTTTATTAATTTTTTTGACAATTTCATACATTCATAGTCGTTAATTCCTTATCAGATATATGATTTGTAAATATTTTCTCCCATTTTGTGGATTGTCTTCATTTTCTTGATGTCACTTGAAACACAAATGTCTTTAATTTTGATGATGTGTAATTTTTTACTTTAGTTTTTGTTGCATACTTTTGTTGTCTTTCTAAGATACCAGCCATTGCCTAACCTGGGTCACAATGATCTGCTCCTTTTTTTTCTTTGTGGTACTGAGGATGGAACATATGGCCCTTTACATGCTGGGCCAGTGCTCTTCCATTGAGTTACAATCCTGGCCTATACTAGTTTGTTCCTTAACAAGTTCTATGGTTTTAACTCTCGATCCATTTAGATCTTTAGATCCATTTGACTTAATATTTTTGAATGACCCTAATAACTTTTGGATTCTTTTCTGATTTGAGAGACTGTATGTTGATATTTTGAGATTGTGGGTATATTATTTCTAAAATGAGGAGATGGAACTGAAGTGCCATGAAACACATTCTGTGTAATCTTAATGTAATTGTCTTAATGTCCTTTTTAATAGTACCACTATTTGTTGCAATGACCAAAACCCATGTAATAGCAGCTTCGAAAGAAGCATTTTATACCTGGCAATATCGTGTGGCAAAGAAGCTCACAGCACTGGAGATTAATCAGATCACACGGTCTCGAAAAGAAGGACGAGAAAGGTATCTCTTTTAATTTTTTTTTTTTTTGTCTTTTTGAGGCAGGGTCTCCCTGTAGCCCCAGCTGTCCTGGAACTCACTATGTAGACCAGGCTGGCCTTGAACTCACAGAGATCCTCCTGCCTCTGCCTCCCGAGTGCTGGGATTAAAGGTGTGCACCACCATGCCCAGGCTTTAATATGTTTTAAATAACCCAACCATATCACATTTAAGACAGGCATAGTGAATTATCAAGTATCATTCTTGAGAAATACACATTGCCTTGATTAGTAAAAATACTTTTCATTAATTTGAATGTCTTTAAATTTGATCTGCTTAAATTTACCAAAGTAAGAGGGTAGTATGGTGTAGTAAAAAAAAAACAAAACAAAACAAAAAAAAAAACCAAAATCACCTTATTGATAAAGAATGGAAATCTATGATTTTGGGGGGGGGTTAGGAAATGACTGTTTGACCTACTCCACATATTAGTGATACTGAAAATACAATTATTCAGTGAAGATCTGAATCTCTAACTGAAGCTTTGTTCCCATAGTCTAGTGGTATGGATCTTTCTAGAGGAGGAGGTGAACCTAGCATTAATCACTAGAGCAGAGGCAAGTCCTTGGACATGGGTATGGAAGAGGGTTGTAGATGGGGTAAACAGGGGACATGGCTTCTTTCCCTTCCCCTGGAGTCCAGGGAGTTTGAGTTGGAATGACTTCTGGTAAGTGGGAGCAAAGCCAGCTCTGTCACATGGAGAGGGAAGGAGCCTTGACAGAGAGGCTCCCCATAGTGAGCCTCAACGTGAAGATGTATTAAATGTTTTTGGTAAGTTATTTTGTCTCTGTGACGGTCTTTTTGTTGTCCTTTGGTTATTACCCAAGCAGTGATACTGCACCACAGTATAAATAAGTGTTACAATAAAAGGCACGGAGCCATAGTGACCAGAAAGGTAGGGGAGGCAGGAAAAACCTCATTTCAGCTCAGAAGTCCTGCTCCTTAGCACTTCTCAGATCCACTTAAGTTTGATTTCATTAAACACTTTGGTAATTTTCCTTCATAAGCCTGAAGTCCCAGCACACAGGAGCTTGAGACAGGAGGATTATGGGTTTGAGGCTACCTGGGTTACATAGTGAGACTCTGCTTATAAATAAACACATAAATGAATGAGTAAATAAATAAATGAATAAATAGATAGTTTCTCTTAACCAACTGTCAGGTAAACTGTCTCACAGCTTAATGAAGTTCATTGGGAATGTGTGATTCAGTGTTCACAATGGGACACAACTTTCCTGAGCAGATCATGTACACATGTACATAACCAGTAAATACTTGATATATAGTTTCTGCCTTTCTGAGATTTGGCTGTATCAAAAACTCTTTAAAATATTCAGGATTTTTATATTAAATAACAATATTTATTAGTGTCATAAACATTTAATTGTAGAGATTATGAAATAATATAATCCTTACTTAAACTTTCTTCAAAGTTCTAATTTTCTTTTTTTACAGAATTTATCATGTTGATGATACTCCTTCTGGATCTGTGGATAGTGTGCTTGATTATAGTAAAGCCATTCAAGTAGGTGGTTTCATTTTTATCAGTAAGTGTTAGTATCTGTAGATCTAGAAATATTGCAGTTTTCAGAATTGAAAAATAATTTGCTTCTAGTGAAGAGGATATAGTTTTAGCATGTTATTAAACACCACCACACCTGACTTTTACATGGATGCTGGGGCCCAAACCCAGATTTTCTGTTAACACAGCAAGTACTTTATACACCTGAGGCATTTCCCCAACCCCAAACTCCTGGCGTTTTAAGTGAGTCTACGATTTTGTGTTAGACTGTCTATATGTGGCTTGTGGGGTGCAGGCTGGACATGCCTGTTAGTAGTGTTTGCATGTAGTTGTATGTGTGAACTATTGTACAATTTTGTCACATGAAGGAACTTTCTCCAAGCTTCTTCATTTTCTCCTCTATTGCCAGTTGTGTGTCCCTGTCCACGGCAGTTCTCTAGATAGAGCAGTCTGTCCTTGTCTGAGCAGGTTTACTGGTGTACACTGTCTCAAGAATAGAATTATGCAGTGTGTTGCCTACTGAGATGACTTTTCTCACTAACCACAATGCCCTTTAGATCCAGCCAGGTGAGTGCAGCACTGTCCTATTTTACCTTTCCTGCTGGCATGTAAGGGCTCCCTGCTCTAGGTTCATCTTTTAGAGCTAAGTTCAGGTTTTTGCCCATGCAGTGTTAAATTAGATACCTCTTGCTCTGTGTTTTTATACCCGTTGCTTGTTTTCTTCCTTAATCGACTGTGATTAGGTGTTTGGTACACAGTATTTTGAAGCTGATTTTTATGTCATCTTTTGTGGGTTACCAAGTTTTCATTGGGGTATTTTAGTCCTTACTTCATTGGTTGGTACATAGTAGGTACTCAAAAAGTCAGTTTCTGTTAAGTGAATGTATTATTGACATAGTCTTCTTTGTAATTGCGTACCAACTTGGACCATCTTTATTATGCAATAAGTATTAAATAACATGATTGATTACTTTTAGGGTACAAGGGATCCAATTTGTGCCATTACTGCATCTGATAAGACACTGATTGTGGTAAGCTGTAATAAAGTTATTTTATGAATAGTTATTGTTTAAATTATAAAACTAGGGTAAAGCCAGAAATCTTGGATTTAGATATCATCTTGTGGGTACCCTAAGTTTTCCGAAATCTAATATAAGAAATGAAAAAGTTTTAAAATTTACTTCACAAATTAGTAATCATCTGTAAAAAATTTTAACTGTTTATAAAACCAGAAGGGTGATAGTCAGCTGAGAAAGTGAAGTGTACTTAGAACTTGACACTGGGCTGAAAGAGCCCTACAAAGGGCTGGTAGATGTGGGCCACAGTGCGGAGAAAGGGTTGGACTGACAAGATTTCTCCCTGTATGTAGCCTGCTATTTTATACTAGCTTTAGCTTGACTACCTTCATATAATTTAGAATGAAGAAGGAGTTTTGTTTGCCAAGCCAATAAAGTGAAAAATGTTTCTGGCAAATTTCTGTCTAGTTTTTTTTTTTTTTTTTTGGAGATAGGGTCTCTCTGTAGCTGCAGCTGGCCTAGAACTTGTAGCAAATGTAGACCAGGATGGCCTCAACAGTCTCACAAAGATCTGTGCCTCTGCCTCCCAAGTGCTGGGCTTAGAGGCACACACCACCATGCCTGGCCTCTGCCTAAATTTTAAATAGAGCCAATAGTGTCTGTTTCCTTTTTCAGTGTATATTTTTATTGAATTTTGTGCAGTCCATATTAATCATATTTAGACTCCATCCCTCTCTGTCTTTGGTTTTTAAAAAATATATAGAACATATAGAAAGACCCATAGTTATGATTTGATGTTATGGTAAATATGCTTTAGTAATCAAAAATAATTTTCACAGGGGCGTGAATCTGGTATCATCCAGAGATACAGCTTTCCTAACGTTGCTTTGATTCAAAAATATTCCTTGGATTGTCGAGCCTGCCAGTTATCTTTGAATTGCAACTCTAGGTAAGCCTGAGAATTTTCCTCCTAGGGTGTTAGGTTAGGCTTAGAATTTATTGATTGGGATTATTGGATTTATATAATAAATATGACAGGTATGTTTTTATGAACTTGTTTGGTATAGTTTTACTTTACTGTATTTTGTTTAGATGGAAATCCTAGTACATTTTTAAAAAATCTTGAAGCTTAAGAGCATTAACTTTTCTGTTTATCTTTAGATACTTTTTTTCTTACAAGGAAGCAAAATGAAGATGTTTTCTATCTTCTGTCAAATTCATTTAAAAAATTTGAAAGCCATTTCCACCACATTGCAGGTTTCTGATCAGGTGGTTTTGAAGAAGGATGGCTATTAGGCACTTTGGTTCGTGACCCCTGATAGTGTTTCACCATTTTTTTCTCCCCAATGGCGTCACTTCCAGTCGTCTTGCTATCATTGACATCGCAGGAGTCCTGACCTTCTTTGACTTGGACGCACGGGTAACAGACAGTACAGGGCAGCAAGTAGTTGGCGAGTTGTTAAAATTGGAGCGGAAAGATGTTTGGGACATGAAGTGGGCCAAGGATAATCCTGATTTGTTTGCAATGATGGAGAAGACAAGAATGTATGTCTTCAGAAACTTGGATCCTGAGGTAAAAACAAGTAATGAGTGCTAACAGTCCATAAATAATGAGACTGACATCAAAACTTGGATATTTCACCTTTGTTTCTTTAAAAAATTGGAATTGACTGTGTAAGTATGTGAAACTAAATAAAAACATTTCTGTGGAGTTAAAAAATATTCTCTGCTTTATCTCACTTCCTAGGTACTTATTTATTCTTTTTAAAAGATGGACTCATAGTTGGGCATGGAGGCACATGCCTGTAATCACAGTACTTGAGAGGGTGAGGCAGAAGGACCTTGATTTTTGTGGCCAGTCTAGGCTATATAGCAAGTCTAAGCCAACTAGGGGTATGTAATAAGACCTATCTGAAAATGAAAACCAAGCCCACCAAAGATGGAATCATGGCCACTAGTTAGTCTTTTCCTTTCTCTTGTCAAAATTCTCAGATAAAATAAAATCAGGGAGCTTATTTACTAAAATTAAAAAAATATTTTATTATTTTTATTTTATTTGTATGAGTGTATTGCCTACATGTGTATAAATGCACCTGTGTCATGCAATGCCTACAGAGGACAGAAGAGGGCATTGGATCCCCAGTAACTGGAGTTATGGATGGTTGTTAGCCACCATGTGGATGCTGGGATTTGAATTTGGGTCCTCTGCAAGAGCAGCCAGTGCTCTTACTGCTGAGCCATCTCTCCACCCCCTACTAAATTTCTTAAAACATTCTAATCCTAAACATGTAGTTTTGAAGTTGCTTTGTCTTTTTCGCTTTTGCTTCTGTCTGCTTTATTTTGTGCTTACATTGTCTTTCTTGTGCTCATATTTCCAGACCACTCACTAATCCACACGCTTTCTCAAAGCAGATACCCCTCTGAATGTACAAGTATGGAATATGGTCACTCTTCTCTTTCCTGGATGTCAATAAGACTTTTCTCATTCATTTTTAGGCTAGGCCTTTTTATTTCTGGCTAATATCAGCTAATGTTTTAGAAGTAGAATTTGGGTTTTTAATACAGACTTTAAGCATGAGGGTTAGCAAGAGAAGTACTCAGAGACACCAGAGAGCATTGGGTGTAGGCTTCTTTGAGTCATCACATCATCTGATCTTTATGCTCTGGATTTTCCTGTCTCTCAGTCTATTCTGGACCAATTGTAATCTGTTGTGCTTCAGACACACAAAGTAACTTGAGCTGTAGCCTAATCAAGGATATAAACCTTAGCTGGGTGTGATAGCACACACCTTTAAGTCCAGCACTCTAGAGGCAGAGGCAAGTGGACCTCTGCTAGATCAAGGCCAAGCCTTGATTATAAATCCTTTAAACATATTTTTGGATCAGTAATTTTTTTTCCTCTTTGAGACAGGGTCTCTCTACAGCCCCAACTAGCCTGGAACTCACGATGTAGACTAGGCTGGCCTTGAACTCACAAAGATCTTCCTGCCTCTGCCTCCTGAGTGCTGGGATTAAAAGGGTGTGCCATTCCACCCAGCTAGTAATGGTTTTTAATTTGAAATTGTTTGTGTTGTACTTTGTTAGTATAAGAGATGAGTTAATAAATGCCTTCTTTTATCAGTTTCTATTTGTTTGTACCTATAACCTCCTTCTTGGGAAGAAATTGCATTCCAAAGATTTTCTATAGTAATTGTTCAGTGGTGAGATGTTGCTCCTTTACTATCCTAAGCCATCTTTGCATTTGCCCCTTTGAGCTTTACTCATTATCTTTGGGTCATGAAATGACCTGATGTAAATTGCTCTGAAGGGCTCAGCTAAAGAATTAAGGAGCCTCTGGTTCTTTGTAATTCTTAGATCCTGAGCAATGGTTTAAAGGAAAGGCATTATGGACTGCTGTCTTCTACCTTTAAGCATGGGCTTCTCTCAAGGATCCAAGGGAAATTTGACTCTTGCCACAAAACAAATGTGGAAATTTGATGGGTATGCACAGAAAAACCTTGAGGATGGAAGGATGTTTTCTGAGTTTAAAATCCTTTTCCTGTTCTTGGTCCCAATCCTTCTAAATCAGAAATCATACGTCAGGAGAGTGAATGTTTGTTATGGCTGGCTGCACGGTGTGTATAGAGTGCAGGTCAGCCTGGTACCAAGTGAAATCTTTATGATGGAAAATATTTCTTAAGTACTTCTAACATACCAGCTTTTATTTTAAAAACCATTATTTTCTTTACTTGAGTTTGTTTTCTGGCTTGGCATGTCATGCAATTTCTATTAGATTTAGAGCTAGATTGATCTTTTATAACCTCACCACCGCCTAGAATTCTTTATAAACCATGCTGTTTTGTTCTTTGCATTCCTGAGGACACTGGCCTTCTGTGGCCCCTGCTTGTGTAAGTGTAGTTACTCTGCTACTCCTTCCCTACCTGCTCATTGGCTATGTAAGAGCATGCTCTTGGAAACAGAATTTATTAAATCTGCAAAACTACAGGCTGATATGTTCTTTCAGGACATGGCAGATTGTATTAGCATTCAGGAGATGAGCTCTGGTTCGACAGTCAATAGCTGGATATATATTTATCCCGGTGAGGGCAGATGAGAGGTCACTGTTTTCATGTTGTAATGTGACCTCCCCAAGGATCTGAGCTAAGAGAGTGGAATAAGTTCTGCTGTTTCATATGGACTGTTGCTGGCTTTATCAGTAATCTTTGAGGTAAAAATTCTTTTCAAGAAACTTTATTGTTTTTATTTTATGTGTACGAGTATATTGCCTACATGTGTGTAAGTGCACCCATGTCATGCAATGCCTGAGGAGATCAGAAGAGGGTGTTGGACTTCCCTGGAACTGGAGTTATGGATGGTTGTTAGCTTCCATGTGGATGCTGGGAATCAAATCCGGGTCCTCTGCAAGAGCAGCCAATGCCCTTAACTGCTGAGCCATCTCTCCAGCACCTCATGAAACTTCTTATGCTTCTGAAGGCACTTGTCTATAATTTGTGAGGAGGAGTTAAAATTTGATAATATAATCTCTTCATCCAGTTAATTATGTATATTCAAACCTCAGTGTGTCATAGTGTGCTAAGATTGTATAGTTATGTAAGGACACTTTAGGATGTCTGTTGTATTATAGGTGCTGTGGGGCCTTCTGACTGTACTGAGTGATAGCCCTAGGTGTTTCTTGATATAGTACAGTAGCAAAGCTTTAGATGCCTTTTTTTTGATAAAAATAAATAACTTGCATACTGTTTAGACGAGTTTACTGACATTATTAGTGTGAAACATATTCAGTTGGGGTGTGGAATTGGCAATGTATTTTGGAAAATAGAGAAAATTGCTTGATGTAGTTTGGCCTAGTTAGCTTTAACTATCAATTTGATATAGCCTAGAATCATCTGAGGAGGGAGGCTCAACTGAGGGATTTGATTTCCCAGACTAGACTGGCTTGTGGGCATGTCTTTGGGGGATTGTCTTAATTGTTATTTGATGTAGGAATGCTCAGATCTGTGGGTGGCACCATTCCCTGAGGAGGTGGTCCTGGGCTGTATGAGAAAGCTAGCTAAGCATGAGCCTGTGAACAAGCCAGCAAGCAGTATTTCCTATGGTTTCTCCTTCAAGTTCCTGCTTGAGTTCCTGCCCTGACTCTCCTCAGTGATAGACTGTGGAAGCCATGTAAACCCTTTCCTCCTGTATGTTGCTTTTGGTCATGGTGTTTTTCACAGCAACAGAAAGGAAACTAGAACATAATTCAAGCAGAAATTGAGTATTTTAGAAAGACGAATTACATAACAATTTGTGCATATTTACTTAAATGCCACCAACTATAAACTATTTTGAAAACTCTCAGCTTTCTGTCTCCTTCCCCATTTTCTCTTTCATCAGGCGTTCATTAAAAAGACCTTCAGTATCTCATCCAAAAGAACAGATTTAATTTCTAAATCCTCAAAGTTGTTATTTTTCATCATCTAAGGAATTTTTTAAAGTAGGAATTTTATAATTCAAATTGTGTTTCCTTGCTCAGTTATCAATTCTGTTATTTAAAACAGGACTGACATCCTAAGCTATTTAACAGCAAAGCATTATAAAATTAAAGAAAGGAATGCTATAAAGTTTTGTACTTTGCTGAAAACTATTTTTCTCAGGGTGGGGTTATTTTTTTTTTCCACAGATCATCTTTTATGACTTCATCTTTTGACTGTCTTGCTTTGTTGCATTATCTAGTTAAAATTAAAATTATTTCTAGTGATAAACATGTTTATACAAGTATTTTGCTTTACATAATAGTATCAAAATAATCAAACTACAACAGGCCCTATACTGTATAAGAAATATCTCATTGCATATTCTTTCTAAGTTAAATTTTGTTCTGATTTCATGTATGTGTGCACGTGTGTGTTTGTGTGTGTGTGTGTGTGTGTGTGTGTGTGTGTGTGTATCTGTCTGTCTGTACTGTTGTTTTCTAAGACAGGACCATACTGTGTAGCCAAAGCTGGCCTCTTAACTTGCAATTCTCCTGCTTCCACCTCCCAAGTGCTTGGGATTACAGGCAGCACCATGCCTAATATGGTTTTGTTTTTTAAATCATAAAGGAAAGGCATATGATTTCCCTCATGCAATATGCTCACCCTTTTTTAAAGGCAATTCAAGGATTTTATAAACTTTTCTTATATAATTTGACTTTTAATCAATAACCCGTGCTTTTTCAAAGAAAATATGTATTTGAAATCCCGTTAGGCACAACTACTATACATAAAAGAGCTGTATTCTTAGACATACTGAACTCAAACTATGATTCAACTTTTATCTCTTAATTTCATCATTTTGGCATCTTATAGTTATATAATGGTATAGTATAATTATGTATAATATACATACATATGCATATAGTTTGAAAAATGTAAATTTGATTATTTCTAGCAGCAGACAATATTATCCTGTTCTTTTTATAATATTCTTGGAGATATTAAGTAGATTGGCAGTTTATTTATTTTTGTTTATGTAATATTTATATCTATTTTTCTTACTAAGAATTTAGAGTAGCTACTCTATATTGTAATATTATGCTTTCATTTTCTAATCCTGTATAGGTTAAAAGACAGACATAGACCCATGTATTTGCATATTGGCAAATAAAATCTTACATAGGAAGTATATCATATTCATATTAGAGAGGACAGAGTTCAGTTTGCTGTGGGATTTTTGTGGTAGATGTACTTAGATTCAAATGTAGTGTTTATAAGATTTTCTAAGAATTAAATGTATAATATACTCAGGTAGAGATCATCCTTCTCTTCTAAAGAAATGTATAAAAGTATTCAGGGGTGAAATATAATACCAGTCAAAATTTCAATGAAATATATGTCAGCTATTTAGGTGATAAGTATATGACATTAATAAAATTTGCTCTATTCTTTGCTTGTTTGAAATTTTTGATGATTATAATTTAAAATCAGGATTCTTTTAAAGAGGACACATTTTTCATGGTGAAACATAACACTTGTTTTTGTCTTTAAAGGAACCCATTCAGACCTCTGGATATATCTGCAACTTTGAGGATTTAGAAATTAAATCTGTTCTTTTGGATGAGATATTGAAGGTAACTTTTTAAAAAACAGCTGTTTCTGTTGTTGGCTTGACTGGGACTCCCATGTGGAACAGATAGTGCAGGGTCACAACTAGCAGCAGGCCCAAAAATCAGATGGCTTCAGATCCAGCCCTGCCCTGTTACTTGTGGTTTAGCTCCCGTGGTAGGGGCTGATGTCATTTGAAAACATTGGCTGCCATAAAGGAGGGAACACCCCCGGGCTTTCTCATCAGTCTCCTGCATGTGAAGCAGAAGGGCAAGGAGAGATGTGAAGCTCAAGAACTGTCAGCAAATGCCAGGATGGTGTTAAGTTCCAGAATGTTGTGACATTGTTTCTGTAATTGATGATGGTGTTGACTTGGATAAAGTATTTTAAAAACTACTTATTTAAATACACTGGGGCCTTGACATACTGGACAATTTTGTATGTAGCTAGTATTAAAGAGTACCTACAGTATTGGCGCCACAGTTGGGAATGGGTGGAGGTGTGGTGGAGAGCTAAATTACAACAGAAACCAAGTTCTCTGTAACAGTTTTGTTATCTATCTGGTTTACTAACAGAAAAAGTTTACTAAAGGAAAAAATATGGCCCTATTTCTCTTTGGTACATTGTGAACCCAGGAAATATTTATCTGGACTGTGGATTCCTTTAAGGATATAATTTTAAGAATAATACGAGAAATTTCTTGGAGGTCTAAAAAAGAAAGAAAACAAGGAAATCAACATTTACCAAAGTGCCCTCATGTGAGGTGTTGGTTTGGCACATGGCATTGCACCGGTGCCTGGTAAATACTGTGTATGCCCCTTTATAGATGAGGAAGGCTGTGTCACATGATGACAATGGCATCAAGTCTGTTTGAGTTCACAGCTTATGCCCTTTCCTTATTGAGTTCTCTAGGAAGTTCACATCAGCTGTGGTGCTTTAGTTGCAGAGGAAGGAACAGTTTTCCATGACTCAGTTTACTGTTTTAGGGACCTCTGCTCTCTAGGACCCACCCCATCCATTACTATTTTATAGTGGGATCTAAATGTCTCGAGTGATTCATTGTTTTCATTAGTTGGGATGTGTAGAATATTAGTGAATTGAATATATCTGCTTGCTTCCTTTCTTTGGCAATTTGGTTCTTTCCTGAAAGACAGACCTTCAATTGTTGTGTTGTTTTGTTCAGTCGGCTAAGTTACAGTAGGGAAGTAATGATGATTGACTCTTCTTTTAATTCTTTGCTGCCCAACGTACTGCAAATACATTATTAGTGCCCCTAGTGAGCAAAGAGAGATGAAGGGGTGGAAGGAAGTGGTGACCCTGCAGTGACAGGAGCAGCACCTGGGGAAAAAGTTAGCAGAGAGAAACACCAGGGACCCCTTCTGGCATTGTCTGTGTTTCTATGTGGCAGCCTGTGGCCGTGGGAACACTTGTATGCTTCCAAATGACTCCTAAGACCCCAATGTGGATGTTTCTTTTCTTCAGCTTTGCTCACCATGTGATACAAGTTTATTTCTATTTTATTCTGTTTTTTTTTTTCTTAATTGTAAGAAAGAATTTTTTGGTCTTTTTGAGACAGGGTCTCCCTGTAGCCCCAGCTGTCCTGGAACTTACTATGTAGACCAGGCTGACCTTGAACTCACAGAGATTCACCTGCCTCTGCCTCCCAAGTGCTAGGACTAAAGACATGCACCAGCAAAAGATATGTACTTTACAGGCAGCCTTTTAAATTCCTTTGCTTCATCTTTCAGAATCCAGAACACCCTAGCAAGGATTATATAATCAACTTTGAGATTCGGTCCCTGCGAGATAGTCGAGCATTGATTGAGAAGGTTGGAATTGAAGACGCATCTCAGTTCATAGAGGACAATCCACACCCCCGACTTTGGTATTTTACAGAATGTCCCAACAAGTCAGCTTATGCTTCAAAAGGCCCAGCTCTGTCAACCCTCTGTTCCATTAGTAGCCTCCAAATGGGAACAGATATCTCTTCTTGCTCTTTTTTTTCTAAATGTAGAAATTTACTTTAGATTTGGAAGTCTTCAATATAAGTTTATGCTTTATGAAAAATGTTCGCATGTGCTAAAATGTTTTTACCTGATTTCACTAGAATATTTTTTGCCATATTTCACTAAAAAACAATAGAAATACTAAATGAATTCTGATTCAAGACATTAATAATATGCTTTAGGCTTTCGAATGTTTCTTTTTTTAAAATAAAGGCGCCTGTTGGCTGAAGCCGCTCTTCAGAAACTGGACTTGTACATGGCACAGCAAGCATTTGTACGCTGCAAAGATTACCAAGGCATAAAGTTTGTGAAGAGCCTGGGCAATTTGCAGAGTGAGTCAATGAAGCAGGCTGAGGTTACTGCCTACTTTGGCAGGTTTGAAGAGGCTGAAAGAATGTATCTAGCTATGGACAGAAGGTAAGTCATGAAGGGCAGGCATCCCCAAGTTCTTTTCAGCTCAAAATATTTTACAAATGGACGATATAAAGTAGACTAAGTATATTATACCATTTCTTTTAGAAAATAATTTCATTTTGGAATACAACCTAGGTATTTCACATGCCTCTCAGTTTATATTTTGTAATTTGGGAACAGCTTTCTTTTCTTTTTAAATATATTTTATTTATTATTTTTATTTTATGTGTAAGAGTGTTTTGTCTTCATGCATATAAAAGCACCTATGTTGTGCAATGCCTACAGAGGTCAGAAGAGGGAGTTGAATTCTTTTAAAATATTATTTATTTTTATTTTATCTGTACAAGTGTATTGCCTGTGTGTGTCTAAGTGCACCCATGTTATGTAATGCCCACAGAGGTCAGAAGATGTCAGATTTCCTGGAACTGGAGTTACAAATGGTTGTTAGCTGCCACGTGGGTACTGGGAATCGAACCTGGGTCGCCTGCAGGAGCAGTCAGTGCTCTTAACTGCCTAGTCATCCCTCAGGCCTTTCTTCTCTATTTTTTAAAAAATATTTTATGTGCCAGGTGTGGTGGTGCATGCCTTTAATCCTAGCACTTGGGAGGCAGAGGCAGGTTGATCTCTGTGAGTTCAAGGCCAGCCTGGTCTATATAGTTATATATATAGTGTATGAGTGTATTGCTTGCATATATGTAAGTGCACCTGTGTCATTCAATGTCTGTGGAGGTCAGAAAAGGACTCTGGATCCCCCGGAGCTGGAGCTATTGACAGTTGTTAGCTGCCATGTTGGTGCTCAAACCGAACCTGGGTCCGCTGCAGGAATATCCAGTGTTCTTAACCTCTGAGCCATCTCTCCAGCCCCTTCACGTTGTTTTTTGAGACAGGGTCTCTCAATGAAACTGAAGTGGTCATTTTGGCTAGACTAGCTGGCCAGCAAGCTCCCAGGATCTGTTTCTGCCTATCCAGTGCTGAGGTTACAGGTGCCTGCCACCATGTCTTGTTTTTATGTGGGTGCTGAGGATCTGAAGTCAAGTCCTCATCCTTGGGCAACAAGAAATTAGCCCTGAGCCATCTCCCCGACCCCTTCTCTGTTTTTATATATGCTAATGTACAACTCTGGAAATTTTATTCATTTGGTAAAGAAAAAAGTTGATAGGACCCTAGAGACTGAGGACTATTATTATTTATTTTATGTCGTAATTTGTGTTTTTATTTATAGATGCCATTATTTAATTATGTCAAAAAGCATAAAATAAAAATCGAAGGCAAATACTATTTTATGACTTACGTTTTTCTTTTTTGTATAAGAACTTCATTTCCGCTGTAAACATCAATGTTGTTTATACTCCCAAGAGATCTTTAATACAACTTAAGCCCTGAAAATAAATATAAAACCAAATCTTTATACTATATGTTCCATTACAATTTATTTTTATTTTTATTTTATGTGTATGAGTATATAGCCTGTATGTATGTAAGTGCACTCATGTCATGCATTGCCTCCATGACTCATGTCAGTGGTGGTCAGAAGAGGATGGCAGATTCCCCTGGAACTGGGGTGATAGACAGAGTTGTTAGCTGCCATGTTGGTGCTAGGAATTGAACCCAGGACCTCTGCAAGAGCAGTCAGTGCTCTTAACCACTGAACCATCTCTCCATCCCCAATATGTTCCTTTTCGAAGTGATTATTATTTATGTAATTATTTTGCTAAATAAGTTGAAAGTCTAGGAAAATAACACTAAAAGTAACTTTTATTATAATATCTTTGCCTGTTTGCACTGCTATAAGAAAATAACCTCAGACTGGGTAATTTATAAACATCAGAAGTTTGTTTCTCACAGTTCTGGAGGCTGAAAAGTCCAAAACTGAGGGTCTGGCAGACTTGATATCTGATGCAAGCCCGGTCTGTGCTACAGGATGGGGCCTTGAATGGTGAAAAGCATAAGGGCAAAAGAGGAACTTTCTCTGCTGCCCTTTTCATAAAGGCATTAATCACCTTACATCACTCCCCCAGAGACCTCATTTCTTGATACTGCCACAGTTGGGATTAAGTTTCAACATGAGTTTTAGAGAGGAGATACCTTTAAACCATAACATTTGATCTGGCCCATTGCCTGTTACCTGATCAGGCCATTTCCAAAGTGTTTGGAGAGTTACCTTGTATTCTACATACCTAGAACTATATCTAGCACAGAGTAGGCAATTGATGCATTTTATAGAATGCATTAATGAATGAACGAATTTTGTTTTTTTTGTAGAGACCTTGCTATTGGTCTAAGGCTGAAATTGGGGGATTGGTTTAGAGTACTGCAACTCCTGAAAACTGGATCTGGTGATGCAGATGACAGTCTGCTTGAACACGCCCACAATGCCATTGGAGACTACTTTGCTGACCGACAAAAGTGGTACGTGACTTGTCTGGAGTACCTAATGCATGTACTTTCCCAGGAATTAATGCTTCCAGAGTGAAGGCAATCCTCCTGAATACTGAAATCAAATACTGCTAGATTCACACTGAAGAGCAAGACATCGTCGAAGCTGAGAGATGAGCACTGTACAACACTGGCATTTATAGACATGAAACCTATACCTAACTTTAGAAGACATTCCACTGTTTTGAGTTCAGTGTACAATCTAAGACATTTTATATGATTTATTTGTGAACAAAGTAAAAGAGATTTTATATTTGCTTGTGTTGTTATAGATTCTTTTCAGAAATCATTGCCTTATTCTTAGCTTTTCATTGTGATCAATATGCTTACTTATGAAGTGTTTGAGAGTACTGCCATGGAACTACACATTAAAACACTGAGGACCTGGAGAGATGGTCCAGCAGTTTAGAGTACTGGGTGCTCTTGCAGAGGCCCTGGGTTTGAGTCCCAAGACCCACATGGTGTCTAACAACCATCCAGAACTCCAGTTCCAGGGGATCCAATGCTGTCTTCTGACCTCCTCAGGCATTGTATGCATAAGTGCACTTACATACATGCAGGCAGAACACTCATTCACATAAAATAAAAGTAAATAAAAACCAAAATGAAAATATTCAAAGAATATTACAATTAGAATATGCTACATGATCTTCAGATTAAAAAAATGTATATGCTTTAAAGGGATTGTGTGACAGAAGATGAGGAAGTGATACTAATACTAGTAGCTCTAGAAAGGAGTATTTTGGGGGAAATGCTTATCTCTCTAGACACACTCATGTATTAATTATAAGCATTTTCTTTTTCCCTCATAGGTTGAATGCTGTACAATATTATGTAAAAGGCCGGAACCAGGAACGCTTAGCTGAATGCTATTACATGTTAGAAGATTATGAGGGATTAGAGAATCTTGCCAATTCACTTCCAGAAAACCACAAGTTACTTCCAGTAGGTTTTCTAAACTTTAGTTTTTGGCACTGTTGGGCTGTGTGTAAAATGTTTGTGTTTTAGCTAGGAAATATTCTCTGTAGTAAAGAAAGATTGACTGAAAGTTAATCTGTACTTTTGTAGTTTCTCAGACTGAAATGATGCTTTTTCTATTTGTAAGTGAGTGAATCAATATTACAAAACACCGTAGGTGGAGGGAGAAGTCGGTTGTATTCTTAGTCTTGTATAGCTTCTTCAGTTTATTAAAGAAGTTAGCTGAACATGTGGGACATTTACAGATGAAATTATTTAGTATCAGGGATTTTCTTCAAAAGAATCTGAAGTCATTTAAAATGTGCTGCAAGTTAAGTTTAAAAAATAACTTTTAAGTTATATTAACAGCAAAGTATTTAACACTAAAAAAAAAGAGAAATTAAAAGCAGAGTTCTTGTTCTTTTGAATGTTATTTTTGAATCTCTGAATTAACTGTTGAGTATTGTTAGTTCTTGTATTTTATTTGTTTAATGTATAAATCACTGAGCTCAATGCTGTGAAGTTAGCCACTATCAACAGCAGGATCAGAATTCATATGGGTTGTAAGTTCCATCTTAAAATTGCTGATTAATAGAAATATAGAGAATTCCACTAATTCAGTTTTCTGACTGTAAAGTGGAGCAGCTACTCCTGTAACGAGAGCATTTTCATTTACCTTCTTTATAGTCCTATGTGTTTTCTTGAGTTAGGAGAGAAACTGAAGTTGCTTTGAACCCTGGGCGTGGGGACAGTAGAAGCTCTCTTAGTGCCATCTGTTAGATGTGTCTAGAAAAAAAATTGTTGTGTAGGATCCAGACCAATAAATTACTAAATACTAAACAATTATAATTTGAATGCTATCTAATAAATCAAAGTAGTGCTATAAAATTAAATCAATTTTTTAGGAATCTGTAATAATACGGGATGATGTATACAGCACTTAGTTGGGGAATGTAGAATACCTAATGGCACACAATATGAGCACACTGTACGTGTGTGTATTCGCAGGGACAAGAGGATGGAGAATGACACCAGGAGAGAGAGGTTTCTTTTTTTTTTTAATTAATTAATTAATTAATTTATTTTTTTAATTAAAAGAAGCATTTCATTACAGCAGCATTAACCTATTCAATAACATTTTTCTGAGCTAGGGTACATCTCTTTCAAAATTGGCTGTACATTTTTAGGTTTACAGATGAATTATTACCCTTATATAATCTTTTACTCATTATAAACTCTATAAGACATAAAATTAAATGAGGTTCCAACGTTTAAAAAAGATCTCCACTTCGTTGTCAAAACACACAGTTTCATACAGAAAAATTCATTCCAAGGCAATTGACATTGAGACATTTTCACATACATTTCTAATCTCTATATACATGACTATCACTGGTCACAG